GCCAGTGTCTGTCTCATGCAGCAGCTGATCCAGTAATGAGTGACCCGGCCGACAGTAAAAATAAACATATTTATAACTAGTTTAGGTAGTTTGAGAGGTGTCTCCGTCCTATCAGATTAGACTTCACTCGCGTTTATGTCCATATCGAGAGAAAGATAAATAATCTGAATTCAGTGTGCAGTTTACTTTAACGCGGGGGTGAGCAGCAGAGGTGGGGAGAGGCGGGGCTATTGCGCAATCACTATCAGAACATGTTCGTATAGGGCGCACACACGGAGCCGTTTGACCCCCCAGAGCGTTTCGTATGCCGTTCTATCCACCTTGGGACCCGTTATCGTTTCCTCAGTCGTTTAGTGCCGTATTCGGTCGTCCTCGTATGGCCGAATGGTCTATATGACACTAAACAGTAACGCAAACGGCCGTTTTCGTCATCGTGTGGCCGGGGCATAAGTGTGAGTGTGGCAGTGTGCATTTCCTACCTTTCAAGCAGGAGAGGATAGCGCAGATGTCTTTTAAGTTGTCCCAATCCAAAAGGTGGTATCAGTTTTTTGGAAGAAAAATTGGTCCACACTTGAACAGGGTTTTACCTTCTCTCGTTACAACATGACAATCATACAGAATATTTCATGCTGTGGTCAATTACTAATAGGAAACCTCAATTCACAGTCTTACATTTATTACACTAAATTGTAACTTCAACTGCCCAATTCAGTTGTGATATTAAAATCTCCCGACAGAATTTAGAGACATCTCCTCATAAAAGGTCGGTGATAAAAACCACATTCAAACTTTAATTCACCAAATCAATTCACATCAATTCCACACCTATTCCCGCATGAATTCGGAGGGATTTCCTCACAGGTGGCAGGATGCTACATTTTCAACAAAGAAATTCGCGTCAATTCATTCAGCTTTCAACAAAGAAATTCACTCCGCATTCAACAAAGAAATTCAAGCGATATTTACCAAGTTTGAGAGAACCTTAGAGAAAACCCAGCTCTGAAGCTTTCCCTCTCTCACCCAGTGTTTATGCTGAAAACAGGACAGAAAACCTAAGACACACCTTCCCATGCTTGTGTAAAAAGTTCATGACCTCTAGTGAAAAAAATATTATTCTCGGCTATGGCATAACCACCTTTTTGGGGCCTCCAAAAAGTCAGGAGCCCCCCCTCCCTGTGTACTGATGTGAGAAGAAACTGTCTCTCCTCTCTTCTCAGTGACACCTCATAAACCATAATAGGTTTTACACTCAACTTAACAAACCACTTTGTTTATACTGTTTATACTGTAAAATACACTCAACTGTAAATATAGAAAATCATAAAATATGAAGCATTTTCATTGTGGGTTATACAAGAATATAATTGATTATATTTTATTATAATTAACTTTCGTTTTAAGTATTCAAGCTAATATGGAGATCTCAACACTTTATCTGTCTTTTTCGGAGACACGACACTGTGGCATCCAAAGCTGTTTGAGTCTGGCCACAAAAAGCCATGGTCTGTTAGCCGTCACAGAAATAACTCCATACATTCTTTTCTGCTTCGATCCAAACACAGGCTACTGCAGTTTGGCAGCCGCTTTCTTTTTCTCTAAAACTGACATTTACAATAAAATGTTCAAAGTCTGAGAATGTATTACGATGCATAAAAATCAAACACAATTCTACCTGCTAGCTTTGTTTTGAAAGAAATTATACATTCACATTGTCATCCACAAATATTTGTTCTGATATGTTCATCATACTCCTCTTCATTCTCACATACTTTCTGTCTTTCTAAGTGTGGCTGTGGTCTCTGTTGACCTGCACCTTAATATTTCAACAAAATAAAAATAAATGGCAAGCTAGAATGCTCAGAATGTTGGGTCACTGGAATATTTGTATCCTCATTTGCTCTTTGTAAATGAAGATAAAGTGGTTCACTGTTTGTGATCGTTGACTGGATCTAGCTGCCTTTGTTCGTTGGCCTTTAAAAGATGAGGTCAATGCTCCAGCCTAGGATACTTAATAGATTCCAGTTGTGCTAAATTATGTTGTCTACTATTAATTCCTCACTGTTGTTGTGAGAGCTTGCATTTTTCATACCAGTAGTCACTTTGTACATGCCTCTTCCTCAGGGCCGGACTGGGACAATAAGTCAGGCCGGGAATTATACACCCAGCCAGGCCACTACCAGTTTTTTGTGCCATTTTGCTGGATTTATTTGTCAATATTTACAGCGTTGCTGCCCGTAGTGATAGCCCTCTAAATCTACTACCCAAAAATAAACATATGGACATGGGTTACTATTTAAAAAAATTTGCAAATCTATTCAGGAACCTATGTGAACATATTTTAAGTGGAGGTGGACCTCAAATCCTATAGGGGGGTCCGGGGGCATGCTCCCGCGGTAAGATTTTTTTTTAAATGTTGGACTTAAATGCATCAATCTGGTGCACTTTGAGGGGGAAATAAAGAGACTACACCCATATGAAACTGTATACATTTAAATAATCATAAAATCATAAGAACATGGCCATAACCAATAACATACCATATCCAATATGAAAAAACATTGAAACTTGTTTATTTATTTGTTTTTGGTTCATTTATACAGTAGTTGTGAGTGTGTCTGTGCTGCTCCTGAACCAGCCTCTCCTGTCTCCCCCCTCTCCTCCCTTCTCCTCTTTGAGGCAGCAGCAAAGACTAGTTTTAGCTCTCAACAAGTTGTAATAGTTTATCTTACCTTTTTTCACCTAGTTAACGTTTTTATTTTGTATTATTCATGCATATTTTACTAATCACTCCCCCCTCAAATGGAAATATGTGTTTACATAAATGGTGACCAAACCGTTTGAGACCCACTGGGATAACTTAGACTAAGTTAACTATCTAAACACTCAGAGAGTCCTTTACTTCACCTGAGCTGAGGTTATCAGTCTCTCAGTCTGACAGGAGAGGACTCTCCCTCCACCTTGTTGTTGAAAAAGCTCCTTATATCCGTTAGTGCAGCTAGCTAGCATCAGATGCTAACAACAACAATACACGTAACCGGTGCGCGTGCTTTATCTCACTCGCTCGCGCCACACATAACACACACCCTCCCGAGCTTGAATGACACACAGAGACCAATCGAGGGCATTAGTGTATGATCTGTATGAAAGTGGCCATGTCGGCAGGCCGCATCATGTAGACAGCCAGTCACCCTCTGTGAGGCAGAGTCAGACCCACATTTGCGCAGCGTTGCATTCACAATACATACATTAAAAAAAAAAAGTCCTCAGGCCAGCAGGCCACTTAACAGGCCAGGCCATCGGGAAACCTCCCGGTCCTCCCGATGGCCAGTCCGGGCCTGCTCTTCCTCATCTCACAGCTGTACTGATTTTTAGGTCAGTAGATTTTGTCTAAAAACTGCAAGAAAAATCTGACTGACACAACACCACTGTTAGTTACTGAATCATGTAAAATATGGTAAACATTCAAGACAGTTACATTGACGTCACAATTAGAAAGACATTACATTGGGGAAAATGTGATTGATCCTTTTTAAGCCACAGCCAAGCTAGCTATAGCTGCACTGTGCATTATCCCATTTATCAACAAAATGGGATTTGTTGTTTTGTTGCACTTCCTTGGTTGAAGGATGGAATTGAAAATACATGGCCCCTTACAAGAAAGCCTTTATATTTCTTAACCTTATTACAGCTGTATTAGACATGAAGTAGTTCTAAAAAGTGTTTGCCACTATCCTCTCTGTCACTCACTATATTTCTTATGTTCTGTTCTTGCTGGTGTGGGTCCAAACTTGTGAGACAATATCAATTTGTCCTCATCTGATGGGCCCCTCTGGCTTTTTCCATCACTCAGTCTTCAAAGACTTTGCTGCACAAAGTTCAAGACGGAACAGTTCACAACCACTGAGCAGCCATTACACAGATCCTGTAGATATGGCACGAAACGCAATGTAAATAATATTAATTTCATCCTTTATCAATATAATATGTTTACCGCTTACATTGCACAAATTATCCTGGCCAAAAACAATTTCCTTAAAATATTTGATGTTTCTTATTGACAATGTGTGGTCACATTGTGGCTACTCTAGGATACTGTGCTGGCAGTGAAAGAAAAATAACTCAATGGAAAAATGTGATGACGCACTAATGACTGACAGAATTTGTGAGGCACTTACTGTAACTGATGACAGGGCTTATCAAAGCCCATTTATTTCCTATTCTGTTTGGTGGCTTTGTTGCTTTTCTTTACAGTTTTATAGGGTAGTCATCTTGTAATCCCTCCTAAAATGATTGCCACATAAATATTCTTCTATATAATGAGAATCAGCTAATATCAGATTCGTTTTTGACTAGCTGACTCTTTAAGTGTCTTTAACCACATGGAGGCAGTGTTGATCTATTGTATAGGGTGTAGGATATCAAGATTAAAAATCAGGTTAATTTATATAGCCTATACAGTATATGGTTAATTGAAGTGTTGAGATATCTTTGGCCAGTCTGACTGGACTCACAGCACAGTATGGAAGCACAGAATATGCAGGAAAAGGGTGCCTCTGAATCACTTTACAGTCTAATTAACACAATATCAAAGAGTATAGGCCTAACGGCAGCAATACATGTATACATATTGATTAATAAAACTGTGAAACCACGTCGTTTTTTATTGACTGAAAAATATGAACACAGATTCCGAGTGAGAAGTGTTGTCATGAAGATCACAAAAATGGTGAATTGCATAGGCTACTTCTGTGATGATGATATGCTTTTATGGCAAGCTTTAAACTGAAATACCACTTTTGTTCATAAGACTTCGTTCTGTAATATACTGGATATATATAAAATCATCCACTGACCTAAGTTATTATTTATGTAGGCTACATGTATTATCTTCTGTGGCAAAACACAATTGTGTGTAGTATATTTTACGAGCGGCAGTGAAGGCATCACGTCACCAAGGAAACCGAACAAACGCTGACAGGCTGACGCTGTGAAAAGTAGGCTAAACTCAGCGTGTGTTATACAACTTATACATAACATAAAGCTACCAATCTTGTTAAATATTATAAGTAGGCTGGAAAGAACCAACGCATCATGGACCAACTTGAAGACTTCGAGAGTTTTTTGAAGAATGTTGACCAAATAAGTGAGTAAAATATGGGTTAGCCTTATTAAGTGCAATAACGTTACTAGCGATAATCGAAACAGCTAACAGCTAACATTAGGTTATGATGTGCCAGAGTCTAAAGTAGCAAGATGAAGGTCAGTAATAAGCTAAGCTAAACAGACAGATGTTGGATTGCATGTACCAAATAATTTGACGCTTAATGGCAGTATTGTTTCACAAAGCAGGTAATATAGAAACAGTATGCCTTCCAACCAGGGCCGTCCCTGGCCAACTTGGGGCCCCAAGCGACATTGTGAGATGAGCCCCCCCTCCAACCGACAGGAGTGACATTTTTTTTTGGGAAACAAAGTACTTTGCAAATATAATTCCTGTTTATTATTATCATCAACACAGTTCCTTTTTTATACAGTGAGGTAAATGGTAAATGTGCATGTATGTCGTTCAGTATGCGTTTACAGGTGAATACGTCTGCATTTCCTGCCAAATACTAGCCTCAAAAAGATAAAAATATATGTAATGCAAATAAACTAATTCTACTAATAATAATAATCGTAATCAATTCAATAATATAAATACTATATTATTTTATTATAATGTAATATAGTCAAGACAAAACATGCTTATGACATGCTCAAAAACTGATATTTCTTAAATCTGTATTCATATAGAGTGGCGAAGTCCCTCCCCTTCCGGTGAACCTCCATGGGACCTTATTTCGGAAAAAATATGTATTGAAGTCAATGGAGAGAGAACGATTATCTTTCGATCCCGTTTGAATTGTGCCACGAATTACACATATGATATTTGTCAATTTAAAAGATAATTTTGCCAGTCAAAAAAAAAAAAAATGTGTTGTAAAACTGTGAAGTAACACATTTTTTGTGTGAAACGCTCAAAGAACTACATCTCTGCTCTCGCAAAACAACACAGACGTCACCAAGATGGCCGTCACTACTGTCTTGCTAAACAAGGGATCGACTACCCTCACTATCACCACTGTAAATGACGTAACGAAGTTGCCTTAATTAAAAGGAGTAACACGGTTAATGTCATAGTTCAATTGGATAAATGAATACTTTATTTCATGTTATTTATAATCGTTAAATATGGCATGATTTAATACAGTTTGTTTTACATCTTGGGCCGATATGCGTATGTGTTTCTTGTGCCTAGGAACTAATGTTTGTTCATGTGCTGGTACTGCATGTTTTGCTGTTACACTGTACAACTCCATGTGGGTTGACGTCTTTTTGAAGCTCTGCTGAGGTCTGTGATAAAGTTTAGTGTGACGGGAGGTCTGTGACGAAGTTATGCAGAAAAGGAACTAAATTAATCTCCTTTCACGACAAGTGGCCAACGAGGTATTTGTTTTGTGTTTTCATTTTCTTGTTTTCATTCATATGTGTAGCACAATATGCTAATGTGTTTGGCTATGTATGCGTGTCATTTCGGTGTTGTAGTTCTCACGGCGTAACGGAAGAGGGAAGACTACAGGATGAAAACTCCCAAGAAATAAACGCCCGTTTTAAAGAACCGACCTGTGTCTGTGTCGTGAAAAGAGCTACAACCACAATGAAACACGTCCAGAAGAATGTCATGCAAAGCTGCCTGTCTTCCTTTGATCCTCTCTGAACTGCCTGATCTTTTTAATGTTTAATGTCAACCATTTGTGCAGATAGCATGAAGTACAAAAGATCGCCGATGCTAATGTAGCGTTAGCGTTAGCATTTCTCCCCCGGGCTTAAATGGTGTATTATAGAATGATCACACCGGTGTGACAGTACTCTTCAAAGGGTCCACGAAATATGACTACTACTCTTACTGTTTAACATTTTGGGTTAGCCTACTTAATGTCACTTCATGTTAAGGCTAATAAAAATGACAAGGCAAAGGCTGTAATGCTAACTAACGTGCTAGCTACTAGCTAGGTAGCTAACTTGACCCAGCCACTCCTGGTCCTTTCATCAGACGGGAAGCGAAAGAACGAGCAAGACCCATTGCTGGTATGATAACAACCTGGTACTAAGCACACAGGCATCTTGTTAAAGTTATCTTATCTTAGCTATCTCTTATTTGGTGGAGGAAAACAATTGTGACATGATGGGATTTGTAGTCTTTCTAGTTGCGTATTTTTCATAGTCTTATATTTCAACAGTTTTACGAAAAACTGTGACTTTTTGACATGGAAATTATTTTTTAAGATTGACAAACATCATATGATATCTACCGGAAGTAGATGGGCGTGACTTCGACACTCTATGTAGTTCCCTCTGTCAGTAATGTATCAACAACTACACACAAATTTCTATCATTATTTCTCTGTGTTGTGTCAACTGCGTTGAGAACTGCGCACAAGCCGAGCTCATAAGCCGAGGCCCCCTGCGCGAGGCCCCCTGCGCAATGTGAGGCCCCATGCAGCCTGCATGATCGGCCTGTAAGGAGGGACGGCCCTGCTTCCAACTCACTCTTGTGTCTGTGGTTCATAAACTCCTTGGATTTATTGAAGCTAAACTTTAGACATTACATTGCCACTTTACTTTTTTAAACGTTATTGATTTAACTTTTTGAAGGCAGAATGCTACCTCAGCACACATTTGTTTTATATTTCTTTATTTTACCCTTATTACATGGTGTTACTTTTAACACTTTTAACACTTAAATCAGGTCAAAATAAACATTGTTGATACAATTGACAATTTCCTATTATACATGTGATTTTTATAAATATAAAACGTTTGTGTGAAGGCTGTTAACAGTATCATTCATTCTTTAAAGGTGAGCTAGTTAAGGATCTAAAGTCCTCTGATGTTGCAATCCAGCAAAAAGCAATAGAGACAGCTGATGGATACATTGCTGAGTTGGACGAGCCCTGCAGGACAACAGTCAACAAGACTACAATCAACACAAACACACCAGGTCAGCCTTCCTTGGTAAGACATACAAACAAAGAAACCCAAATACAGTTGCAGTTAATGTTGCCCTAACACATTGCTGTCCAAGTCCTTGTATGCATGGACCACATACAGACCAATATGATCTCAAGTGGGCCTGACCAGTAAAACCAAAGCACAATTACCTAAATAAATAACAACACCCAGAAATGTTTCCCTTTCTTGTAGTGTAAGTACATTTGACATTTTTCCTCAAACTTTTCATTTATCTTCTCTTATCTCAGTTTTCCTGGCAAATTCTTGTAATAAAGTTCTTCACAATAATAGGTCTGATAGTGGCTACCTATATTATAATCCTGTTCCATTTTTCTTGGACTTTTGCACTTTTTTTCTATTTTGACAAACATGATACCCTTGACAGTGATGTGTCATGTAGCCAGTACATAAACCAGTGGGATTTTAAAAAGCGTATCCAGCATATTGGCTGCTTTACTTATTTTATTGAAAAACTGGAATTGGAATTAGACCACCCTAACCTGGAACAGCTGTCTTCGACCGGAAAGGACAATATAATCCCTATCAATAAAACCTTGTCTCCTTCAATGCAGCACATCCAGAGCTAATTCCTCGTGAAACTGTCCTGGCCCTTTCTTTTTTATGTCTTTGTATTTTTCATTTGCTATTTGTCATTGTTATTTTATTTATTTATTAGATATATCATTACATGTTTTACTTTTTGAAAGTACTTTTAGCTTTTTAAATACTTTTTAAAACATTATTTTCATAATTCTTCTCTTGTTTTACAGGGCCTGCAGAATAGAAATCCAGGTGAGCGGGTTATATGTTTGTCCCTTGCATTGAATTTAAACAATGTTTAAGCTCACGTTTATGTCCTCATTGTGCATTGAAAGAATGGTTTCGCTGAGCCAAAAAATACGACAACAAATACAGTAAACTCTATGTGTCTGTTTGGATTTTCAAACCTTATTCTGATTGTTGTTCGTTATACATGAAGTAGTTTGAGTTTTCATGGGGAGAAGGGTGCTGCTATGTAATAGAGGAAATTAATCATTGGACTCATTGGACATGATTGATATTTTTGTTTGGACGCTTCTTAAACCAGTTTAGCCCTAATAGGCTAGTGACAATGGTCCCAACATTTTTGAGATACCCCTCCCGGAGTTAGGACAAAACACAACTTACTTTTTCCTCATCTCTAAGGCCTCCCATACATGAAATGGATTGTTGTATACAAATATTTTACTGCAAAAGTTGTGAAATTGATATATAAAGTTAGACACCCCACACTAAAAATAAAGGTTGGCCGTCTGGGGGTTGAGGCATAACAACTCATGTAGATTCACAATGGAAGGTCTGATAGGTTTAAAACTTGGCATACCTAAGGTCAGGACATCCCTCTGCATTATATAAAAGACTGAATGTAAATTGGAGATACAGTCATTTGAACACATACCTACAATAGGCAGAAATGTATCTATGTAGAATGATCTCTTTACTTTGTAGTGACCCTGACATGGATTGCCATAGCAACACACACAAGGGCTTGTTGAAAAGGTGTGGTTCTACTGAATCCAGCAATACCAATTGTGTAAAGGTAGCTTACATACTCATCGAGTTATGTCACTCAACGTTTATGGTGTCTTTATACACTGTTATGCCCAACTGCAGCCAAAATGTGCCAGGGACTAGAAGGTGAGACACAGAGACAAGGAAACAGGTTTTTGGATTAACAAACTTTAGTATTCAAATTAAATGTTCTTATCTAAACTTAAGTAAACCTAAGCTAGTGGGAGCCGGGGGATACATGCATATAAACACATCTCTATCACTCATCCACATTGTCATCAAAAACAACATGGCTCACATTTGGGCAGTCAGAGCAAGAGCAAAACTCTGTGCAGGTCAAGCCTACTGAAAGACATTGGCATTTGCTGCTATCATTGCACTTTCCGGCCTTACAGTTTGGTGGGTGATGTCTCTGACTTCTTTAGGTGCAGGTTCTTTGACGAACATCACTGGTTCAATAGACCCATCGTCTCTGAGCCTCCACCCTCTACCAACTGGGTTCCAGAGATGAGGCTTGGCCACATGGCTGTGACACCACACTGCGGTCTGGTACATGGCTCTTAATACATGTTGCTCGAAGGCATCTTCTGTTGGGGGTAGATTTGCAGCTGATTAATCTGTTGTAGATGCTAGTGTGTACCTCAGCTCATCCAAGGTGTTGCAAGGACGGCCATCCTCCCTTTTCTTTTGGCCATACAGAAGGAGGGCATACTTTCTTGCCACAGGAATAGCCTCCTCCAGACTTCCAGAAAGTCCAAAACTGGCCATCTCATTTAAGTCACTCAGATGGGTCTTAAGTCTTGTAAACACAGTAGCCTTCCCAATTATGTACAAGCTGCTTGTGGTATCACAACCTATGAGGGCGTGGCATGCAGGTAGACATGCACAACATGCTGCACCAAGCTTCTTTGCGATGGGACAGACTGGGACAAACCTCTCCCTTGGGCCATATCCAGAGTGCATGAACACCGTTGAGGATCCAAACATTCCTTTGCTGGAATAATACACAAGCAAAACCAGTACGTCGGTATCATCACATCTGATGACGACCCGAGAATGAGACTCTGCTAGATCACTATACAGATCTGTCAAGTTGTCAACACCTGACTTGCTGACCACTTTGACCTCCTCACCATTTTCAAAGCCACCTGCCAAAATGACTGTGTTCTCTGAGGAGATTCTCTTGGGCCCTGTATTGGCTATGTAGTTGCTTACAAAGCTGAATAAAGCAGCCTTGTTATCACTGACCTTGAGGTATTTTCTGTAGTTAGGAACTTTGGCTTTGCCTGTGATGACATGTGTAGATCTGCTTGCTTGGATGGTGCCTCTTCTTTGCCTTTCCAGGTCTTTGATTGAGTGTGGATGATCATACCTATCAAACACTAGAGCAACACAGTTGTTGTTTTCCTTTTCCATTAGAGTTGTGATCTTCTTCCAGACACACTCACCCAGGTCATTGAATGTCTGAAAGCCTGAGTCAGGGAGACTCTGTAGAAGAGCCATGTCATCGATGATGTATGCAGATGGTTCAGCAACATTAGGCAACTGCTGTGTCTCTTCAACTACTGACTCCAATTTTTTAGCAAGGTCGGCTTTTGTTGTCTTTCTCATGCTTCCATCATCATAAAACAAAGAGGGGGGGACAGCAGCAAGTTCATGAGACATCACAGTCTCCATGGATACCTCTCTTTGCTTGGATACAGCAAGTAATCTTCGAAAGAGCACATCTGAGTCCATGTGAACCTTTCTAGTACTGACTCCACCTGATGTTTTTATGTCTTTGAAGGTTGCACACTGTTTTCTTTTCTCAGGATCCCAGAAGCTCTTAGTTTTTTTGGATTTTGCCAGGCGTTGTTCAATAAAGATGGCATTCTGCTCAGCACTATCTTGGAGGAAACTTGACAGCTCTTTTGCAACTTTCTCAGATGCAACCTGACCACTTGCAATATTGATCAGTTCCTCAGGGATACTATCAAGGTCAAAGGGGTTCTGCTTCTGCTCCACAGCTTCCATTATCTTTTGTATGTCTCCCTAATCTCTGTCCATTCTAGAGGCTCCATGTTCTTTGTGTGCTTTTGGGCCCTTTGCATCAGTGTCACAAAGGTCTTTCATGGCATCCACGTATGCTGTTCACATGCCTTGTCATCAACCATCTTGTGAGAGCTGCCTTTCGCAATGTGAAGCCAACAACTCCACCCTGACTCTTGCCTTCTCGGTTAATGGTTTGCTCCAGTGCCTGATCAGTCGCCACACAGTTGAAGCTGTGATCCTCTGACCGGCGGACAACAAATCCGCCTTCTTGGATGAATGTGTATGCTTCTGGTTGTTCATGTTCAAGAGCTTTCATTTCTGCAACGTAGACCGGCATGCACTTGGCATAATTGGTTCTTCCAGCAGCTCTGAACCAAGGGATGACTTCACACATGCTATTCAGGTGAAGTTGAAAGTTTGCTTCACGTTCTGAACGAAGGATCCTTAGCAACAGATCAGCACCCTTGAGGAACATTAACCAATATCCAAAAGTTGCTGATTGCTTAGCCCCTTCAACTATGAAAGTCTTGATAATGTTCTGGAACCCAGTAAGTTCCGTCTCCACCTCACCGATAAGCTGTTGAGCAGTGGCCTTGTCATTACCATGAAATGCTTGCTGTACATCTCGTAGGAGTTGCTCTTGTGCTCCAGTTATTGCACATTTGCCTTTCTTTTCAAGCCATGATTGCATGGCTTTCCAGAAGAGCCTGAACAGAGCCTCAGAGGCTAGCTTTATGCTCCTTATTCCTCTTGCCAGCTGCTTCCCCTGAAGCAACTGTCGGGCTGTGCCCTCTGCATAAACTCTGACTCAGTGAGTATGTCAAACAGTCCGCCATCACCATAGAGCTTTCCAATGCTTGCAAGGTAAGCCATTGTGATATGCATACCTCCTAGTCTCATTGTGATCTTCCCTTTTAAGAGCTCTGGTTTGTTGCACAATATCTGTTGCACTTTGCTATAAATTGCAAGGTCTGCAGTCACAAGCACATGGTGTTGTCCGAGTTCTTCAGCTGTACAAGCTGTATCATAGCTGTATAGATGGTGACCAAATCTGAGGGCGATTCTCTTATGAAGGGCATGGCTGGCTACTGGACAAGGTGTGTCTGATGTGAAGGCATTGAATGCAGACCACGCAGGAATATGCTGTTGATTCTCGCTCTGGTTTCGGGCCAGCTTCCATACCAGGTCTCTGCCTTCTGCTGCTTTGGAGACTGCTGTGTTTATGTGTAGTATCTCAGGTTTGGGAAGTTCGGGCGGTTCTGGTCGCTTTGGAGGTTTGATATATCTGTATCCAGAAATAATAAGATAAGCTTGTTATCATATGCATTAAATATCAACTCAGAACACTAAACCTCACCAAGTATTCATATTGAACACCCCCACCAATTAATTTGTACTGTGACTATACACATGAAAACGGAATGAATACAAATTCAAATAATCCAAACATATCTGTGAAGTTTCTCTCCATTCAAGTCAGCTGTGTTCAAGGTTGAGAGAGACCTCTCTGGGACTTGTGCTAGACATTCATATGCAGTGGAGACATGGCCTCTTCGGTACACAACAGATGCCATAGCATGAGTTGTTTGCTTCCCGTCCAGAGTATCCTCATTCTGATCAAAGTTATCGATGGCTGCATCAACAATTCCATGTTCAGTGACTCCAGTGAGGCCAGTTGGGATGTAGACACCACTCTCTGTCCTTGATATCTGGTCTGCTGCCACAGATGTGAGGAACTGTCGAACCTCTGTATAGGAAACACAGTGCCCCATTGCACTGAGCTCATTGATGAGTGACTTACTGCCAAATTGATGATGAATCAAAATGGCAAGTCCCAGTGTGATTGGCGTATGGATGTGACGGCACTGTGCAATGAGATCATGGCAGATTGCAATGACACGCAGATTGTCCTTCAAAGCTGGTTCCTCATCACAGGTCTCACAATTTCTGTGAGCATTTGAATCAACACACCAGTTCACAAAGTCATAAACATTGTTTGGTACATAGTTGCTGCAATGTAGACGTGATAGTCGATCACTGCTGACATATGATTTATGGTCATGGTCAACCTGCTCCATGCTCTTTCTCAATATGTCTGCAGCTCTATGTAGTATTTGCCTGTCAGAGAGACCTTGACTTTGCTGTTGTGTATCACAGTCTGCTGTAGAAGCTGTTGTCTCTTCTGGCTTGTCTTCGAGTTGTACAGCTCT